TGGTATTTCTAACCTTGAATGGTTTACCAGAGGAATATGATGCCTTCAAAACCGCTACTCGCACTTGATCTGAACCTGTCAAAATAGACCAGTTGTGTTCATTATTATGTTCTGAATCCATTCACATTGAACAAAAACTTAAACAGTCTACTGGCATAGATCTTCATGTTGCTTACTCTGCCTCACGAGGATCTTCCTTTTTCTTCTCAGACCAGCTATGATTCTTCACATGTTTTCAATCGAGGTTTTCACTCTACAAGAGGCAGAACTTCATATCGTGGTTCTAGAGTATATGAATTAGATGGTGATGGTGATGATGATGATGATTGTAAGTATAATATTTGTAATGAAGATGATATCGTCAATTCTAATGATCTTCCAACTGAAAGAGATGTTAAGCGTCTAAATGAATTAACTGAAAAATACGTGTTTGAAATCATATTTGATTCGAAAGAAAATGGAGAAAGCTTTTATAATTCATATGTTAAGGTAAAAGGCTTTGGTGTTTGAAGGGATCAATGGTATAGAACAAGAGTAATATTGTTATATCAAGGAAGTGAGTATGCTCAAAATAAGGATATAGACAAATCCAAATACCTTGAGGTTGAAGAACGTAAAAGAGAACCAAAACAATTAACTAGAGCTGGTTGTCATGCTTGTTTCCATATCAAATACAATCAGAGTACTTCCAAATATGAAGTGAATAAATTTTTCAAAGATCATAATCATTCCATAATAGGGCCTCTTGGTGTTCAATTTCTTTGCTCATACCGGAATTTTATTAGTGCTGACAAGGCACAAGGCAATGTAATGCATCGTATTGGTATGAGGACAAGTCACATTATGGACTTTGCTGCACAACAAGTAAGTGGCTATGAGAATGTTGGGTTCATACAAAAGAACATGTACAACCATTTTGGGACTACGCATAAAGCACAAGTTGTCAATGGCGACGCAAAAGGTGCTTTAGCTTACTTATGTGGTAAAGCAGAGCAGGATCCAATGTTTTATTATAAATATCATGTAAATGAAGAAAATCAATTAAATAATTTGTTTTGGACGACGGTGGATCTCGAACACATTATTTGTGTTTTGGCGATGTGTTGATGTTTGATACTACGTATTGGACAAACAAGTGGAGCGTAGATATATATTGCGAGTGTACTATATGGGCTGAAGTATACCTCCATGGGCATTTTTTTGCTGGTGCAAAAAGCACGCAACGTTGTAAGAGTATGCATGCATTTTTTAATCGATTCCTAAATATGCGCGTAAGGCTCTTTGAATTTGTAAGAGCATATCATAGAGTACTTGCAAGACTTCGCCATAACGAGGCTAAGGCACAATCCAAAACTGAGAATACCACTACTATTCTTTCTATATGTATGAAGAGGATTGAAAGACATGCAGCTGATATATTTACTCGTGCCATATTTTTGAAATTTTGTGAACAAATAAAATCTGAGCAAGTGTTATTTATGTCAGGAAAAACTGATGTAGAAGATGTTCACATATACTATTTGTTTTGTTGTTCAAATTGTGAAATTAATTAAATAGATTTATGAAGAAAACAAAATTATATACCAAGAACATATGCTGATAATTACAATTAAATTTCAACAGAAATACACAAAACAATAAAAGGGTAAAGATTCGAAACCGAAACCTGCATGGAAGCAGTTTCCTTAAAACAGATTTCGCCGCCTCACGGGTCGAGTGCTTGAGGAATCCTAGCGTCTGTCTCCCAGGATACGACGGTCAAAAACTAGTTACGGCAAAAGCACTCTCTGTCTAGCTTAGCGGCGAACAAAAACAGTGGCAGCACTCTCTCACAGTAGGAACTTTCTGGCAAACTAACTAAAGAATAGAAGAAACAATTTCTGTGTTGTTGGAAACTTGACAGGAGGGTTTCAATTTATACATGTATAGGGGAGAGAGGAGAAGCCTCCAGCCTTTATGGCTGGTCACTAATGCACCATTAACCTCTGCAATAAAGGCAGGAGTTACAAACCCCATTAATGCACTATTAAACTCTGCAATAAAGGCAGGAGTTACAAACCCCATTAATGCACTATTAAATTCTGTAATAAAGACAGAAGTTATAAACCCCATTAACTCTTTCATGAAGCTAACTTCATGGAGCAATTTCTCATTCAATTTTCAATGGTTTTGGTCATTCTATTTGTGGGGTAAAGATCTCATTGCAAAGTATCTAGACCCACTTGGACCCAACACAATAGATGGTTGGGACCCACTTTAATATGTAATTAAAGTCACCAAAAAATCATTTTTTCCAACATGTTTATGTATACACATCTAGAATCCATATGGAATGTACAATATCAGCCAAGTGATCATGCTATGAAATGTTCTTGTTTGCATTTTGAATTATGTGGAATACCATGTTCCCATATGATATCAATCATGAAAATGGAGCATTTGAAAGAAATTCCCTCCAGTTACATATTACAAAGGTTGACAAAAAATGTCAGTCTTCTATTTTACTTGGTAAGACCCTTTTTCCAAAATGGGTTATGCAAACAACACGGTTTGGTGCATTGTCAAGTGCATGTACTGAGATGTGCAATTATGCTTCGCACTTAACCGATGGGTACGAAGAGGCTAGAGATGTAGTGACAAAGTTAACATATCAAATGAAAGGGTTGTATGTCCAACATATTGAAGGAAATGGAACAAAAGGAAAAAAGCAATGTTGAAAGGACATGTTTGCATTTTGGTATTTGTGATCTTGCCATGACAAATACGAAGGAGAGTCATTTTGTCACAAAGGATAAGTTTTCAAAGTTAAGAAAATGTGGTCATTACAGGTATTTAATAATTTAAATTATCTAGTAAGTGTATTGAATCATAATTAAATTTATAAACTAAGTGTAATGTGTTTTGTTATAGAGGTACTGGTCATATGAGGAACAAGTGTCCAAAACTAGGTTCAAAAACAGCGGTTATAGAAAATAAGAATGTTGATACTTTTCCTACACAAAATACTTATGTATCAGAGGCAAGCATGTTGCTCCAAGAAGGTGGTTTCAATGTCGACCTTACTTTTACTATTAGTGATTACAATATAATGGGATGTGGTTTCAATAGGCACCTTATTTTTGCTCAAACTAACTACAATATAATGGGTTGTGATTCCAATATCTATCCCAACTTTGTAGCAATGACTTTTTATTTAACTATTATTTACAAAATTTATGTTTGAGAATTTATTGATTATTGGTTAAATTATATAAGTTCGTACATGCTTAGAAAATCTTGAGAGCATTTATGGCCATGTCATAGGAGGGACAATTGACTTGTCAAAGTGATTGTAGCAATCTTCGAGACAATCAAAGAAATCAACCTTATATTTTAATTTTTTTTTGTGACATTTATATTTATAAGGCATATGACTTTTTATATGTACAAGACAAATGATAGTGTAAGACTTTTACTATTCTCAAACACAATACTTACCACTATGATTTCATTCACCATGTTCATAACAACATAATGGTAAGTAATGTAGTAAGTGGAGTCTATTTTAAGTGGTAGTAAGTGAGGTTTATTTGAGTGGTAAGTTAAGCCCAACAAACTGGTAAGTGGAGTCTTCTTGACTAGTAAGTATGGTTGAATAAAATGGTCAGCCAAGAGTAATGAAGTAGTAAGTGGAGTTTATTTGAGTTGTAGTAAGTAAGGTTTATTTAAATAGTAAGTGAAATGTAAAAAAGTGGCATGACTTACATTTATAAGGCAATGCTTACTACCTGTTCTTATGCTACTTACCATTCATCAATACAATAATTACCATTATGATTTTATTCACCATGTTCGTAACAACACAATGGTTTTCCACGAACACATAAACTATTTGGCAAATAGTTTACAAAGTCATTATCACTATCATCAAAGACGGGTGCGTGGTGTGTGGTTGGGTTGGGCTTGTCCGGCCCAATACTAATCTTTTTGGGTCAAAAACATTTGAATTTAATTTTATTTTTGATAAAATAAAATCCAGAATTCAAATTAAACTGGTTTGGTTTTTCTGTACATCCAAACAGGGCCTTTCCCGTATTAAACCGGAAATAATCTGATCCGGATTTACTGTACACCCAAACAAGGCCCTTCTCGTTTTTGTTATCTATTTGAATTGTAACCCAACAGATTCAAATCTATTTGAATTCAAAACCAACAGGTATCATACCTGTTCAATTCAAAAACCTAGAGCCGCCATTCCATCTATAAATAGGACAGCCCTCATTTGGATTTTGAGAACTCTAATTTTCGTCCTTCATAATTCTGCAAACATCCTCTTCATTTTGCTGCATTATTTTCTTGTCAGAGAGAGTATAAACACTTTGTGTGTTCGTTGGACAAACAATTTGTAGTGCTGCTATTGTTTGTAGTAGATCATTTTATCCTGGGAGATAGACATCCACATTCTGAAAGCACCGTGGAGATGACGAATCTGTCTTAAGGACACAGTGTCAAACACTGGACTTGATCAGATTATAATTCGAAGAAATTAAATCAAGTAAGTTATTTAATTAATTTTTGTGTTATTGTTATTTATTTAAATCAGATTTTAATTTTGTTTTTGTAACAAAATAAAATCTATTTTTATTTATTTATTTATTATTTCGAGTTTGATTTTTGTAATCAAACAAATTCTCTCATTTTCTTTATTTCTTTAAATTCTAGTTGTTGTTTTGTACACAATAGAATTAAATCTAATAAAATTACAGTGAAGATTGTCCAACAGATTTTACTTACCATGTTCATAACAACATAATGGTTTTCCGCAAACACATAAACTATTTGGCAAATAATTTACAAAGTCATCATCACTATCATCAGAGAAGTCTGGAATTTCTGGATCAGAAACTAACAAATGGATCTTCAATGATTGTTGTGATAGCACTATCACAATCAAAATGTTTTTTCTTGGCATATTCAATGTAATGAAATCTATCTAATCTTCATTGCATTTGTGTATTCTCTCTCTGTAGCCTTGATATGACTGTTGCATCATCGCGTGATTTGTTTATGCACGGTTTAGCTAAACGTGCCCTTGGAACCTCGTTGCCCATGCCATCAACAATATATCTCAAGTTCACAATGTTTTTCGAAGAGCTCTTGCCATTGCAAGTTGTTTATGTCAACAGTGACCCCGTGTGGTGGTCGATCGTATACATTACCAATAATTACGTGACCCACATCTGATTGGCATGGATCATGCATGAAAAAAGTTTATTGTGGAAATGACGCAGCATATATATAAAATACTAACTTTACTAGTTTACAAATATAATATTACATCCTTGTCCCAAAAGTCAAAAATTATGTTAGTGTCTCATCTCTTTGCTACAAAAAATAGGGATCAGAACTCATCATGGTTAGCTTACAAAAGAATTTTCTTCTACAAATTCTAGATTGATGGGTCAAACAATCACAGGAAGTAGTGTTGCATAAAAAACTCAACTTCCCATCCTAACTGTACCATACCAAAACAAACCCACTCTGCATGGACTGTATAAATGGGGACAGACTATAGGTATCCCTAAAACGCTTGATCAGCGATCCATCTATGTATCTCGATGTATGATAAGACATTATTAAAATCAACATTCTGAATATTAATAATTTCCAAAGGGTTAGAGATATTGGTGAATATGTAATCTTCGAGGTAAACATTTCTCGTTCTTTCAGCAAAATCTGGGAGCAAAGGGCCAATTATGTAGTGAGAGCGGTCATATCTTGAGGCAAGGCCGAGTATGCGGGCGGGTCCGAGATATCGTTTGCGCACGTAGGCACGGCTCTGCTTCCACGATAAGTATGCTACATCATTAGGATCGGCCTGTACGTATATTGGCCGACCCATCAATTTGGCAAGGCCTGAATATAGTCGCCTAACTATGTCTTCCGAGTCTCTCCATCCTTCTGGTGGGGCAGAGGCGGGGGTGTAGTGCTCTGCTAAGATGTCCTCCAAATTTATAGTCCCAAGCTCCTCCCAAAATGCCTCATTAAGATTAAACTCGGACATTCCTACATCACCAGAATTACTCATAGTACAAACGTGAGATAACGTCACAAATAAATATTTATTTCTTTAGTTTATTATTTATTTATTTATGTAGTCATTTTTATTATTATTATTATTATTATTATTATGAGGAACTTCCACATGTTTTAAGAGTGTTATGTTGGATTAGAACCTCTATTTATTTTTGGAGCATTACAATCTACATCCATCCGCTAACCCACATAGCTTACTCAATCCGCATTCGCTAACTAAGTAGACGAATGCGAATTTATTTTTTCTAATCCGCCTAAATTTAGTTAGATAGTAGATGGGAGGTCACCTGACTCAACCTAATCTGCGAGCACCCCTAATTGTAGGATATTTAATGGGGTCAGTGTCTAATGAAATAAGTGTCAGACCGAAGGGACTTTGGTATAATCCACCCCAAAAATTTTCACTAAAGACGACCAACCACAAAAAATTTAAAATTTTAAAACTATATTTAAAAATTTAAAACCAAATAAAGTAAATATTATTTTTTTATGACAATAATGTTTCATTGGATTACTAACTAAAATATGCAGCTGAACAAATAAATAAGGTAGCGTTTGGTAGAGTTTTGTAAATGTGATTTGAGAGTATGAGTTGTATTTTGAGTTTGTGAGTTGTAGAATTATGATTTGAGTGTAGAAAATTTGTTTGGTTATGGTTTATAAATAGAGTGTTGAATTGTGTTTTGAAGATGTATTTTGAATTAAGTTTTGAAAGTTCGATGTAACATGTGAAAGGTGAAAATTTGTTTGGTGATGTGTTTTGAAAATAGTTTTCAAAACTCAATTCCACCAATAATTTATAATTAAACACACAACTCATATATCGATATCTGTATTTTTTATCAACAATAAAACCAAACTACTTTTTAAAATACTAACATTAAAAATTGATTTTTTTTGCCAACTAATTTTTTTCAGTAATTTTTTTGAATAATTTTTTTTTCAAATAATTTTTTCATTTTCAAATAAACCTATGCCAATTATTTTGTGTCAGTTAATTTTTCTATCAATTCATTTTTTATGCCTGTACAAACATCTTGTAAAATACGTTTTTTTATTTTTCTAAAATTTTGTTAAAGTCAATAACTTTTGAAGATACATATTAATAAAAACTAACATAAATACACTAAATTTAATATTATAAAATACAAATTATAACGTAAATCTTACAAAATATTATCAATTTTTTTGATATTTATTACATGTTATTAATTCAGTAATAAAGTTGTATCAGATTTACCACCAATTATTGTACTCCATGATGAGCACCCGTGAAGCTCATATAATTGGGTGAATCGGTATGCAAAAAGACTTTTTTGCCCCTCTTGCTTGAAATGAGAATTACTTACATGGAACAAACTCAAAAAGGGTAATACAGTAATTTTACTTACCTACTAGCTATCCCCTATTGTGCCATAGCTGTGTGTTCAACCTGACTTAAAGAAAAAGGAGGTGATGCGATGTATACGGATGTCATATTATTACAAATTTAATAATATTAGAAAGAAATAATATATAACAAATAAAAAGTAAAAAAAAAAATGGCTTAACAATCTCAACCTTGTGAACCTCGCACTCTCTATAAAATCTGAATCTCATTCTTTTAACCATACCAACTTCGCCATCTCATTCCATACAGCATATCCACCACTTCATTGCAACACCTTCGCCAGTTCCATCAGAGATCAACGTTAATTAAGTACAGCATATCCGTGTGAAGTAAAAATTCAATTACAGGTGAGTTTTGATGGCAGTTATCTTACCTTCACATTTGATATTAGCTTCAGATCGAAGGGAGAAGGGAGAGTGGATGAAAGGGAACACGAAGGACAACCGGCCGGTGATCCGGCCGGTCATCCCGGCCCAGGCACCATTCACTCCGTATCTATTGCCCTTGTTTCAGATCTGCTCCATTTTGATCTTTTATATTTTTTCATATCTGTTCTAATTTTTTCACACCATCGTAATGTTTGATATATTTTTCATATATTTTTTTTATCTCATATGTTTTAATATACATTTTTCTTTCACTATTGCAGTCATCATGCCAAGAACAAAACGAACCAGACCCGAACGCAGTGAATCCTCAAACCCCGTACAACATCAACCACAGCAAGAACATCATGACAATCCAAATAATGATTTTTTAACGTACCATCATGAACAAGCCTATTCACATTTTATTAATCGACCAATTGTTACGGGGAGAAATATAAGACTACCTTCTCAATATGATCCAGTCTTAGTTGGTAAATTAGATACAATGGGATGGTTACCTTTAACTAATTTACCAAATAAGGTATACCCCTGTATTGTACGATTATTTTATGTTCACTTGACAGCTGATGACCAACAAAATGAACCGCCCAGCTGTCATTTTATTCATTTTGGTGACGAACAAAAACAAGCATCCAGACTGATCAGGATGACCATCCAGACAGATGAGGATGATTGACAGATCAGAAAAAAGCAAGACAGATCTGGAGCACACCACCAGAATTGATCTGCTGCAGACCACCACAAGCATCACAGATCTGGAGCAGACCACCACAGATCTGGGCACACCACCAGAATTGATCTGGACCACACCACCACAAGCATCTAGACAGATCTGATGCAGACCACCAGAATTGCTCCAGATCAGTCCACCTTCATGACTGATGCAATACTTCACCATGCAGACCACCAAAGGAAGAGAAAAGAAGGAAAAAAAAGAAATAGAGAGGAGCTAATTCAGAGCAGTTTTGGACCCCAAACGCCCCGGTTTTGCCTACTTTGTCACACTTTTATGTCCTACATAACTAATAATGCGTCCTATCGAAGCGTTGCTTGCTTTCACAAGTTTGTTTGATCTAGGCCGAGGTGACCACTACGATCTCGGGTTGTTTCCAGGCTGTTTCCAACTATTTGCCCCAACCGGCTCGTTTTTTGCCTTCTCTATCACATTTTGGTTTCCATGGAACAGTCAAAAATTCTTGTTTAACTATTCATCCTTGGATCAGTGGAACATTACAATGTTTGAAGTTTCTATACTAGTCAACATAAACTAAACTGTAAATTCCATCTTTTAAATATTGAACCAAAAATTAGTTTAAAGACAATCATTTCTCTATGATATTCTCATCAAACGTTTATTTGCCTTTACTTTGAACATAAATATAATCAAATATGGTTTAACACACTTACCAATTACCATGACTATCTATTGTCGAGAATTTGGTGGATTGCGATTTTCCAAAACTTGCGCCAACATGCTCTGAAGTCCAAAAAGCCGCCGCTGCATCTCCTCACGTTGTCTTGCATTCTCTGCCTCTTTCGTTTGTTGCTCCTCTTCTTTTTCTTGTTGCTCCTCACGGTTGCTCTGCTGCTCCGCACGCATTATCTCCAACTCGGATGTAAGCCTTTTCAATTGCTCGTCACGTGCTTGTGATGCAGCAGAGAACCCAGTATCACAAGAAGAAGGCTTTGGTCCAACCCCAAATCCTCTCAAGTATCCCTTCTTCTTACCAAGAACCACTCTTGATATATCCTC